ATAGCTGCCATTATATGTGCTTGAGTAGTTTCTGATTAATCTTCAAAATTAAGCAGAATTTTTCCAATATAATTAATAGTACCAAGATAATTACCTTGATAATAATGATATACAGTAATCAGAAATTGTATTTAAAGATTTTTAATATAATGATAATGTTCATAAAAGGTATCCACATTTAACTCTTTCTGACAATCCCTTGGTCAACAACAAAAAACTAAACTATAGTAAAAAAGTATAGAAAAGCAACTAAATAGACACTACTCTTGGTTCTACGTTAAGTAGGCTGTTGTCGATAAAGCCTAAGTCAAATATGATATACCGAGAAGTAGACGTTTTCTGGTGGTTTTTCTTTGGATCAAGTTTCTTGCCTAACGAACTCCCAAAGATATTCGGTATCCAAACCAGAAGGTTTATTCTGAGAACAGGAAGTAGCTAGGCTCTCACCAAGAATAAAAGAAGTTTAGAAACTGGATAATACAACTGTAAAACTTACAAGAAGAACCTTATATATATTCGTTGGCCCACTACTTTTTTCAAAAAAATTTTGTAAAAAGTGGGCATTTCAGCTTACCCCTCCAAAAGATTAACATCACATGCACCAATTAGTCAGCATTATTTATTTTTTAAATCAGATCGGTAACAACAAACACGTGAATATACGTGCCTCGAATGGATTATCTTTTCATACAAACAATGCTCCGAAACATATTGCCGACCTCTCAACAACTGGGGTACTATCTATTAGAGAAAGTATTTTGGATTAAAGTCAAGGAAGTTCTTCCTACCCGGGTTTTACTTAGATATACTAATTAAATAGATTTAGAGTAGAGAATATCTTGTTTAGTAGTATATAATTTTTACAAGGCTTTACTGGCTTATAATGGTTACATTAGGATAGCATTTTGTTTTATTTTCTTGTTACTATTTTTACCTCTTTCTTTTCTTGTTTGTATCTTTTTTATCGTTTCTCCTATACTTCTGTTTTTTACTCTTTTTTGTTATTTCTTTTTGGTTTTTATGCTTCTTGATAAGCCCGTAGCAGCCAGCTAAGGACTGATGGGAAAAAAGTTCCCTGCGAGTAGAAAACTCGAAAGGAGGCCAATTGCTATTGAGGCAGGCCACATTGGTACCTTTGAGGTATTGGTGAGCCTATATTTTGGTTAGACAATATAGGTTAAAATACGAGAATATAATATTTTTGTTGAAATCCTCAGTCTCAAATAAAATAGGGCAGGTAGCCGAATTACTAAAAAATATAATGATAATATTGTATTGCATCTTCAGATAAAAAGCTTTTCAAATTAATTTTACTATAATCATCAATATTTGATAAAAAATCCTGAAGTTGCTGGTATTTTGTATTGATCTTTAGACAAGGTTCAATTGTGTATACTTTTAGATCATTAGCTAGCTGGCGTGCTAGTGTGTCGCTTAAATATATTTCTTTCATAACTTGATTGATTTGCTCTAAATTGCTTGTATATTTTTGTATCAAAGATACTAAGATAAAAACCTTATTAATAATTATTTCTCAATTATCATTTGTTGCCCATAGTTATACTACTGATAGCTCTAATAATGAAGCTAGTTGCTCAAGTTTATTACGTTTAAGATTAGATTTAGCATGTTTTCTAGTATCATAAAAAGATTATAATTTAGATTTTGCTAATACTGATTTAATTCGTCAAATAGATCTCTAAGTGAAAGTAATCATACTATAAATTTTGTATGATATGAATCTATATACCACAAGGTTGCTATTAAGCATTCAATAAATTTTTTTCTAATAGTATTATGCATTGCATTTTTCTATCCAACTTCTTTATTTTGAAATAAGTGAATAATATTATTATAAAGTAAGTCTTTGTAAGTATTCTCTTTTTTAATTCAGGGAGATGAATATTTTGTGAATTTTTTATAAGAAGATCAAATGTATTTGAATTTTGGCAAAAAGATTCTTGAACATTAGTCTCTACTGCCTCTAAAACAAATTTAATATGGGTAAAATTAAGCTCAAATAGCATCGATATATCACCCTCTAATTCTTCTTCTATATAAATCCAATTCTTTGGAGGCTTTCTTAAAAATACTCGAACAATACAATCTTCAAATTGATCATTTGTAGTCATACTAAAAATATTATAAAATCAAGAACTTTCTGTATACAACACCTTTACAATCTTGTCTGGGATAATAGTTTTTGTTTCTCTAACTACACATATAACAAAATATCACATTATTTAAAAAATATGCTAGTAATGATATTCATATAAAATTAAAGATCTGTATTAAGCTTGCAAGAGAGTAATTATTAAAAATCCAAATTAACAAAATGTTATTATAATTAATATATATATAATACAGGTTACCCTTATTAATATCAACCTATTTGAATTAGTTTTAAATCATATTAATAGTGATATTAACAAGAAATCATATTAAAGTTGATATATATGAGAGAATTTTGATATATAAAAATTGGTTTGTAGCTTAGGTTGATATCAATGAGGTTGATATTAATGGGAGTAACCTGTATAAAAAAGCTAATTACAAGTAAATTATGTATATAATTTTGTTTTAGTCAATTATATTTAATTACAGGTGTAGCATATTATTGTAGACACTTTTTGAACTTTAATTGTTCCAAATCAGGTAAGTAAGCGCAGTACGAAATTTATATCACGTGATCGGCAAATCTTGTGGTGCAATATACTAAAATTTTGTGCAATTTCGTTAGATCATGCAGAAATAATGCAAAAGGTAGGACGAAGTACCATTTTTGAATACGTATGAAGATCAGTTTTATGGATTTTTTTTTTTTAAAAAAAAATTTGTAAAAAATCGAATTGTTGTTTAAATCGCATCAAATTTTGCTCAAATATAGCGTAATACCCAGGTAACGTGATATTATATAAAAATTGTTTATTTGTATAATGGATCAGCATAAATTAAAAAAAAAAATCAACTTTATTTTTTTTTTTACGAAAAATGGGTGCAAAGAAAGATTTAAGCAAAAGTCAAAGAGGAGCGATAATCTACAGTCACTAGCGTGGAGATTCACTCCGTACCATTGTGGCTGCAGTTGGGTGCGGTAAATCTGCTGTGTTGAATATAGTAAAGGAGTATAGTAAGGTAGGCGTGAAAGCGCAAAAAAAAAAAAAAAGAGCTGGTTGTTTAAAAACTCTAACCCCCGCTAAACATGAAGATCTGAAAAACTTAGTTACCAACAGCAATCGCCGTCTTAGTCTTACCCAAATAACGAACCTCTACAACTACCAAGCTAGAAAAACAATCTCAAAATATACTGTGCGTCGTGTTTTGCATGACATTAACTTGTCCTCATGTATCATCTCCCCGAAGCCGCTCATCTCTGAAACGAATAAAAAAAAAAGATATGAATGGGTATTTAAATACCAGAAGTGGTCTGTTCGGCACTTCAAGTATGTGTTGTGGTCGGATGAGACATATATCTGTGTCTTCCAAAGTTTCCCTGGCCGTGTATGGAGAGAACCACATAAAAAATGGAAAATGGATTGTATAGGCCCTACTGTCAGGTAAAGCCCAGGGCGTATGTATTGGGGCTGTTTCTCGTAGTTTGGGGTCGGGCCCCTTGTTGTGTTAAAATCTAATGCCAATGGTGCATCACACCTTGAGATTATTCGGAAATACACCCTCCCCACTATAAAAAAATTTCTGACAAATAGTGATCGCAACCAACCATACTTTGTCTAAGATAATGCAAGACCCCACAAGGATGATATGGCGATAGAGCTTTTGGTTAAAAACCAGATTCGTGTAATGGAGTAGCTCCTGCAGAGCCTAGACCTGAATCCGATCGAAAACCTGTGGGCTGAAGTAAAGGAGTCTGTATGCCGCAAGGAAAGTCCAGGTAATTTTAAAGAGCTAGATATTCTCGTTAAGAGAGCGTGGCGTAACATACTATCAGAGCTGCACCATCGATTGATTATTAGTATGTCCAATCAGGCTGATGCTTGTGTCGAAGCTAGGGGGACCTATAGATTATTAATCTATAATTGGTTTTTTTTTTTTGTTAAAAAAAAATTGTAAAAAAAAAAAATAATAAAATGTAAAATTTAAGGTTTCGTACGAATAAAAAAATCGAAAAATTTTATTTTTTGGCATAATTTCTGCGCGATCTAACAAAATTGCACAAAATTTTAGTATGTTGCACCACGGGATTTGCCTATCACATGATATAAATTTCGTGCTACACTTACTTACCCGATTTCGAACAATTTAAATTCAAAAAGTGTCCACAATAATATGCTACCCCTGTATATATAGTTTGAAATGAATTGCTTGAAATATGCAAGATGGTTTTGAAATAAATTGCTTAAAATACGCAAAATAGTTATAAATATAAAGTGTTTCGATATGTGATGTGGCTTTTTTTTTTTTTGCACAATGCACTATATGGATTGGGTTAAATTAATTTTGAATTAGAAAATCAATCAGGTTAGAAGCTTATATTTTCAATAAAATTTTTAACAATATATTTTTTAATACCTCAATTTTAATGCCATTATTTATATTATATATCAAGAAAATAAATAAGTCTTAGCAAATTCAATGGCAGGTACAAAAAGTCTAAACGATATCTAAAAAAACTTAACATATAGATAATAACAACCAATCTATAGCTGTAAAAATTGGTTGATTGATTACTAGCTTTAAAATTCAAAAAAATCTCTCTATATATACTTAAATTTGTGATTCTACCCTAAAATTCTAAAAATTATTTTTTCTGAAAAAATGTAATACCAACTAAATTGTTCTATATAATAACAAATGCTGGCTAACTTTGTTGATACGTATTATGTTTTTTCAAAAATCTGTCAGATTTTATATTCAAATTTGCTATGTATTATAATATCTATTTTATTATGTTATGTGCTTTATCACTACTAGATTTTTTTTTGTTTATTGATATCTTAATAAGTATATCTCGATAAGTATATATTGTTATGATTTTATTGTTATCATTATGCATATTATCATTTTGCAGTATTACATATGTAACAAGTTTTTAATGATTTCTAAAAAAAGATATTTTAGTGAAATTGATCAATTCTGGCCTAGCTGACTAGAATTCTGATATATTTCGACATAAAATTTTAAAGATCATTCTGTATAAAATTAAAATTCGGATCTAGATATTACCTATATGTATATTGTTTAAACCCTTTATTATTTGCTTAATAGAGAAGTAAGGGTTATATTAAACATAAATTTAAATTGAAGTGGCCTTAGAGGATAGCTAAAGTTATGTATCTATATGATTTTGATGGTTTAATCATTTAATTAATAATTCTCCAGTGAGCTAAAGAATTATCATAATATAACATAATATAGTTCTATATATAAATCATATAGACAGAAATATAAAGATTTTTTAAAAAAAGGGTGTGATGATATAGAGTAGTTATTAAGTTGTCACCCCTAAGCGGCAGGTCTAGAGTTCAATTCCCACCAGAGACATTTTTCAAAAAATAGGTCTGTGTTATGATAACATTTATTCAACAATCAGTTGGGTATATCATCTATAACCTTGGTATCACCATCTCAAAATGGAAGCTTTAGGGTGATTCAAATCCAAGAAACTAAAATATTTGAAACCTGTTTGGCAAAACCTGAGCTAGAAATAATAAAGATCTTTGATGATATTACAGAAAACCAGAATCGGAGACCGAAGAACTGGATAAAAAATCCTGGGGCAAAAAGGGTCTACCAATCTGGTCATCAGAGTTACACCGGAGGAAAAGGTCTGATGCTACAGAATTCAAAACCAAGAGAAGTAAAACCAGAAGGCACTTAGAGCCTAGATACAACAATCTTTTTGAATTAACTGGTTTGGTAGTTGGGGAGGGATCGGTATAAGAGCCAGTTGGAAGTGAATATTGGGATCAAAATAAACCTTGTAAAGAGCAAGAAGTAGATTATGGTAGCATGCAGAAGATGGTGATACCAAGGTTATAGATGATATACCCAACTGATTGTTGAATAAATGTTATCATAACACAGACCTATTTTTTGAAAAATGTCTCTGGTGGGAATTGAACTCTAGACCTGCCGCTTAGGGGTGACAACTTAATAACTACTCTATATCATCACACCCTTTTTTTAAAAAATCTTTATATTTCTGTCTATATGATTTATATATAGAACTATATTATGTTATATTATGATAATTCTTTAGCTCACTGGAGAATTATTAATTAAATGATTAAACCATCAAAATCATATAGATACATAACTTTAGCTATCCTCTAAGGCCACTTCAATTTAAATTTATGTTTAATATAACCCTTACTTCTCTATTAAGCAAATAATAAAGGGTTTAAACAATATACATATAGGTAATATCTAGATCCGAATTTTAATTTTATACAGAATGATCTTTAAAATTTTATGTCGAAATATATCAGAATTCTAGTCAGCTAGGCCAGAATTGATCAATTTCACTAAAATATCTTTTTTTAGAAATCATTAAAAACTTGTTACATATGTAATACTGCAAAATGATAATATGCATAATGATAACAATAAAATCATAACAATATATACTTATCGAGATATACTTATTAAGATATCAATAAACAAAAAAAAATCTAGTAGTGATAAAGCACATAACATAATAAAATAGATATTATAATACATAGCAAATTTGAATATAAAATCTGACAGATTTTTGAAAAAACATAATACGTATCAACAAAGTTAGCCAGCATTTGTTATTATATAGAACAATTTAGTTGGTATTACATTTTTTCAGAAAAAATAATTTTTAGAATTTTAGGGTAGAATCACAAATTTAAGTATATATAGAGAGATTTTTTTGAATTTTAAAGCTAGTAATCAATCAACCAATTTTTACAGCTATAGATTGGTTGTTATTATCTATATGTTAAGTTTTTTTAGATATCGTTTAGACTTTTTGTACCTGCCATTGAATTTGCTAAGACTTATTTATTTTCTTGATATATAATATAAATAATGGCATTAAAATTGAGGTATTAAAAAATATATTGTTAAAAATTTTATTGAAAATATAAGCTTCTAACCTGATTGATTTTCTAATTCAAAATTAATTTAACCCAATCCATATAGT